CCCCATCCTCTCCTCCCCCCTTTTCCTCCCCTCTCACCCTCGCCTTCTCCCTCACTCCTCCCTCTCACACATCCTCTCCCTCGCCCTCTTCCTCACCCTCGCCTCTCCCTCACTCTCTCCCTCACCCTCTCCCTTACCCTCACCCTCTCCCTCACCCTCTCTCTCACCCTCACTCTCATCCTCACTCTCCCCCTCTCCATTGCCCTCTCCATCACTCTCCCTCTCCATCACCCTCTCCATCACTCACCCCTCACTCACTCTCACCCTCTCTTTCACCCTCTCCCTCACCCTTTCCCTTACTCTCTCCCTCACCCAATCCCTCACTCTCTCCTCACCCTCATTCTCTCCCTCTCCCTCACTCTCACCCACTCCCTCACCCTCACTCTCCCCCTCACCCTCACTCTCCCCCTCACCCTCACTCTCCCCCTTTCCCTCACTCTCGCCCTCTCCCTCACCCTCTCCCTCCCTCTCATCCTCATTATCTCCCTCTCCAACTTTTCCCTTACCCTCTCCCTCACCCTCTCCCTCACTCTCTCCCTTTCCATTACCCTCTCCTCCTCACCCATCACCCTCACCCTCTCCCTCTCCCTCACTCTCTCCCTCACTCTCATCCTCATTCTCATCCTCACTCTCTCCCTCTCCATCACCCTCTCCCTCACCCTCTCCCTCACTCTCTCCATCACCCTCTCCCTCACCCTCTCCCTCACCCTCTCCCTCTCCATCACTCTCTCCCTCACCCTTACCCTCTCCCTCACCCTCTCCCTCTCCCTCACACTCTCCCTCACCCTCTCCCTCACACCTCTCCCTCACCCTCCCTCACCCTCTCCCTCACTCTCCCTCACCCTCTCCCTCACCCTCTCCCTCTCCCACACTCTCCCTCTCCCTCTCCCACACTCTCCCTCTCCCTCACCCCTCCCTCCCCCCTCCCTTTCCCACACACTCCCTCACTCTCCCTCTCCTCACCCCCTCCCTCTCCCTCTTCCACACACTCCCTCACTCTCCCTCACCCTCTCTCTCACTCTCCCTCACCTTCTCCCTCTCCCACACACTCCCTTACTCTCCCTCACCCTCTCCCTCACTCTCACCCTCTCCCTCACTCTCCCTCACTCGCCCTCACTCACCCTCACCCTCTCCCTCACCCTCACACTCTCCCTCACACTCTCCCTCACCCTCTCCCTCACTCTCTCTCACCCTCTCCCTCACTCTCCCTCTCCCACACACTCCCTCACTCTCCCTCACCCTCTCCCTCACCCTCTCACTCTCCCTCACTCTCCCTCACTCACCCTCACCCTCTCGATCATGACACAATAATTTTAATTAATTATGGGGTAGGGCAAATTAAACCAGACCCCCTGGCGAGTACGCTAATTGGCATGCCCAGGGCGTGTGTTGGCAGGGGCAGTGAGGGTGTGTGTTGGCAGGGGCAGTGAGGGACGTGTGCTTCCAGGGGCAGAGAGGACATGTTGGCAGGGGCAGTGAGGGACGAGTGTGAGCAGGGGCAAAAAGGGACACACACACACACACACGCACACTGCAGATGATGTGAAGTTGTTGAGAAGAATTCAGTCTGACGGGGACCAGGCAGAGCTACAAAGGGATCTGGACAGGCTGTAGACCTGGTCAAACAACTGGCTCCTGAGGTTCAATTCCACAAAGTGCAAAATCATGAAGATTGGGGAAGGGCAAAGAAGACCGCAGACGGAGTACAGTCTAGTAGGCCAAAGACTACAAGCCTCACTCAAGAAAAAGGATCTTGGGGTGCGTACAACACCGAACACATCTCCTGAGGCGCACATCTACCAAATAACTGCTGCAGCATGCGGGCGCCTAGCAAACTTAAGAACAGCATTCCGAAATCTTAATAAGGAATCGTTCAGGACCCTGTACACCGTGCATGTCAGGCTTATATTGGAGTATGCAGCACCAGTTTGGAACCCACATCTAGTCGAGCATGTAAGGAAATTTGAGCAGGTGCAAAGGTTTGCAACAAGACTAGTCCCGGAGCTAAGGGGTATGTCCTACGAGAAGAGGTTAAGGGAAATCGACCTGACGACACTGGAAGACAGGAGTGATAGGGAGGATATGATAACGACATACAAAAATACTGAGAGGAATTGACAAGGTGGACAGACACAGGATGTTCCAGAGATGGGACACAACAACAAGGAGACACATTTGGAAGTTGAAGACTCGGATGAATCACAGGGATGTTAGGAAGTATTTCTTCAGTCACATAGTTGTCAGAAAGTGGAATAGTCTGGGAAGTGATGTAGTTGAGGTAGGATCCATACATAGCTTTAAGCAGAGGTATGATAAAGCTCATGGAGCAGAGTGACCTAGTATCGACCAGTAAAGAGGTGGCGCCAGGAGCTGTGATTCGACCCCTGCAACCAAAAGTAGGTGAGCACACACACACACACACACACACACTATTACAACCCAGGAACAATAAGGACTGTTATCCTGAGAGTAAAAGGGAGCAGAACAAACACAGCTGAACGACTGAAAAATATTTTCCTTTACCAATAGCAATGTGGATATTTACAGGTATGTACACTATATACAGTTGGGTTGCCTAAACTGTGTACAACACAGTTTAGGCAAGGCCAAGACATAGCGTGGAGACAGAATGGACAACCGTCCTCTAACATCTCTAGTATGGAAATGACAAGGACAGACAGGTGGGTGGTGCCCACAACACCTCTGCGATTGCCAGAACCATCTTCTCATTGGCTGAACCTGGGTACTGATAGCCCCATCGTTCGACCCCTAGTACTGGCTCGCTGTTTGGGGAGATAGCCTTGCAATGAGGGTGTGTACCTGCACCGAATAAAGGTTACGTATTCTTTGCATGCCACACACACAACACACACACAACACACACACAACACACACACAACACACACACAACACACACACAACACACATACAACACACACAACACACACACAACACACACACAACACACACACAACACACACACAACAACACACACACACACACACACACACACACACACACACACACACACACACACACACAGCAGAGGCGCTTTGTGTACCCCTAACAATATTCAATACATCTATCGAAACAGGGAGATAGCCTGAGGCGTGGAAGACAGCAACTGTAGTCCCAATCTTTAAAAAATGAGACAGACATGAAGCACTAAACTACAGACCAATGTCACTGACATGTATAGTATGCAAAGTCATGGAGAAGATTATCAGGAGAAGAGTGGTGGAACACCAAGAAAGGAATGATCTCATCAACAGCAGCCAACATGGTTTCAGGGACGGAAATCCTGTGTCAAACCTACTGGAGTTTTACGGCATGGTGACAGCAGTAAGACAAGAGAGGGGTGGGTGGATTGCATTTTCTTGGACTGCAAGAAGGCGTTTGACACAGTTCCACACAAGAGATTAGTGCAAAAACTGGAGGACCAAGCAGGGATAACAGGGAAGGCACTACAATGGATCAGAGAATACGTGTCAGGAAGACAACAGCGAATCATGGTACGTGGCGAGGTGTCAGAGTGGGCACCTGTGACCATTGGGGTCCCACAGGGGTCAGTCCTAGGACCAGTGCTGTTTCTGGTATTTGTGAACGACATGACGGAAGGAATAGACGCCGAAGTGTCCCTGTTTGCAGATGACGTGAAGTT